TAATCTCCTTTAAAGTGAAAAGACACCAACGGTCAGAATCAACACAATATAGTCTTGATTCTGGACCAATCCGAAAAAACGAATCGCTTCTACACTGCTCAAGGACAAACAAGACGATCGGCCGTATTCGCGAAGAAGTAAGCGTCTATTTACTGTCCCACAGGAATTGCGTTCCGCGACATGGATTATGCTCATCATCTCTAATGAAATTATGTTAGGAGAGAAGCTAACGACTCTGAATTTAAAATTATGACTGTTTCACAAGTGCGACCCTTTTTGTTTAGTAAATACCGCGGTCTGGCATGATTACACTTCATTCTGTTCCAGGGATTGGCAACGAATGTTCCTCTCGTAATATCTGTTTCAATTCTGACCTGAGTCTTATCTCCGCTTGGGTCTGTCACAATCGTGTTCTCCTTAATGTCGGCACAATATCCTCCTATACCCTCTTCTCTTAAACGTGAATCGCCCTCCTCCTCCTCCTCCTCCTTCCCATTGAATTTTCAATCGAACTTTCTTTGTATAAGAGATTCATCCAACTTATTGAGAGCCAGTTTGTCTTCTTTTTCATGTTCCTCGGATGTTCATCTACTTACCTCTTACATATCCCTCTCTCTCTCTCTCTGTTTCCATTTAATTTTGCAACAGTTTAATACTTGAAACAGCCCTATCCTCGTGCGAGGATAGCTGTGTAGATTTACTCCCACTTGACAGACTATATAAGTTAGAGTATTCAGACGACATTGTGCTGCTAAGTGAAGCTCCAGGTAATTTGCAAGCTTTTCTGAATAGTTTAAGTGCTACTGTAGCCATGATCGGTATGTGTTTTGCACCTTAGAAGTTGGGGTTGGGGTCCAGCAGCCAGCCTTACCCTAACTGGGCAAGTAATAGAGCAAGTGGATAAGTTTTGTTATTTGGGCAGCTTCATCTCACCCGGTGGGTGCGTCACGGAAGAAATGTCAGCTCGCATACAGAAGGCTTAGATGATAGTTGTCAATGTGAGACGCATGTGACGCCGTCGAGACATTGGCTGCCTGTTAAGGGTCGGCCGCATGCCACGACAGTCCGGCCAGTTCTGCTATACGGCGCAGAAACTTGGTCATTAGTGAGCAAGATAAAGACAGACTGTCGATGTTCGAACACTGCTGTCTACGCAGCATGACACGAATCTGGTGGGAAGAGCAGTGCTGGGGTTAGGTGAAGAGTTTTAGGTGATCGCGGTCGCCAACTGGAGCATATGATCGACCTTCATAGATTTCTTCGGTTGGGGCATGTGCTACGCATGTCACCAGCTAGGTTGCCACGGCGAGCGACGTTCGCCGAGGCAGGTAGTGGGTGGAGAAAAGCCAAATATGGTCAAACTAAGACCTGGTACGAGGTTATGGAAACCCTAACCAGGGGTTTGTGTCAAACAGGTCCCGTTAAGCTCCCTGGAACGGGACCTTGGGATGATCGTAACCGATGGTTAGAGACATTGACTAATATGGCTGAGTGTTGTAAACAGTGGCGTTTGTGAATCTCCTCAATTACTTTACAGTCTTAGCCCACTAAAACTCTCTATTTTATATTCCATTTTACTTTCAATCTTACTGCCTTTCCTTACTGTGTATCCAAATGGGCGATCAAAACACAGCCACAGAAACCTGGGAACGAAAGTACATAGTTAATGGCTGTTCAAGCTGAAACTACTCGCGCTGCACTCCAAATCGGTATTCGTAGTTTTGCGTTGCACTGCTTGTCTTAATGCCTTTCTCACTAAAACAAGCTCGAATTTGCCCCACATGTAAGTGCTTCAGTTACATGTGGAATGTAGCTTCTTCTAAATCGAACTCATCATCAGCGAACTGACCCAAGCCTGCAGCTACTAACCCGAAGTCGGACAGCCGCTTCCTTGCCTGCTAATACCACTTTGGATTTTATTCAACAGAACTCACCTCTTCCACCCACTCCCGACTGTGCATTCTTGTGAACTCCGTACACAATCGGTCAGTTACCCAGTTCCAATGAGTCACTTCTAGTAACGATAAAAATGTTTTACTTCTTCTATTATCCACTGATTATATATATTATTATATTTCACACTTACCTGAGGTCAGATTGTGTTCCATGCAAATCAATAATAATCTTTATAATCAAATAAATACATTCCATGATTAGCTTGTGGGCGGAATACTTCCATGTTGCCCAGGCCAAGGCAGGTGAATTTTCCTGAGGAATCCACAACCAGAGAATTCGGCTAGACAAAGCCTGACTCACAAGACAGCGGGGCGGTGTACGGAAAACGCAATCCATTGGGAGCCGGTGACCACTGCCACAACCAGGAAGTTCTGTGTGTGGCTCATACGCTTCCTCATGATTGGTTTAAAATCAGGGTTTTCGGCCAACTCCCCCAGGTGAACTACCAGTGGTCCACTAACCCGGTTATAGCCCCGGATATCGACTATTTGTCATCTCACTTTGGTTGGAAACACCTCTGCCACGAGAAGGCAGTGAGTAGGACTTCCTCAGCAGAGGCCATCCGAGACGTTTGGTCGTATGGGCGCATT